TTCGACCGCCCGGATATATAACCGGGCGCGCCGTGCCTGGTCTTTGCCTTGCCTTGTCTTCTGCCTGGCCAGTTTTGGTAGCAAGTAGTGCTACGCGTTTATGCATCGTGTACTGGTGATTACCGACGCGCTTTCTAGGCTTCCTAGGGTGATCGGTCTTCCGTTTCAGATTCGAACCACTGCTCTATATATTCTGCTGAGTTGAAGGTGGCGCCGATACACCCTGCTGGGTTGAGGCTAATGGTTCGAATCCCGTTTTGTGATCTCGGGCTCACGGCGTTGCCGTGATCTTAGGAGCGACTCGATCGTCTTCTCGGAGCTTCGAGCTCCCTTGTTGCCCAAGTGTCCGTAGGGGGCCTTGGCGATTTAGAAGCGGCTCGGTCGCAGTCCTAGAGCGTTCGCGCTCCTTCTTCCAAGTGTCCGTTAGGAACTTGGCTTTCTCGCAGGAGCGACTCGGTCGTCCTGCGAGCCGGAGCTCTCGGAGCTCCATTCCCACGCGTCCTCGGGACCGTGGCTGGCTATTGGCCGTTACGTCCGGAAGGGCAGGCCATCCGAAACGACGGAGGTCGTTTCGTTGCACGTCCTTGGCGTGCTCCGGGTGCCGCGCACCGTTGACGTCACGGACGTGTATCCTGCGGGACCTTGCGTAAGCGACGTTGTTCGCTTGTACATAGTTGCGTCGTTCTCCTGCGTTGTTCCACTTGCGTTTTACTACATTAGTTTCGCGACACTCTATTGCGTCTACTGCGTTCGTTGCGTTTTACTTCGGCGTCTCTACATCCTTGCGTGCGTGTCCTCTCTCTCTTTCTCACGATCGCTTCGCCGCCGTCCCTGAGCGCGGTGCGTCGGCGCGCGACGTTGCGTGTTCAGCAGGGTCCGTGGTCGCCTTACGGGGCCCCGGCCTTCAATCAGGACGACCGCTCGGTCGTCGAGCGGACTCGAGCGAACCTGGACGCAGGCGGACGTCGCTCTGTGATCCCTTATTACCAGCCAGCTCTCCGGAGCTATCATATGTTCGGTCTTGATCCGAACAGGTTTAAAGAAAATACATTAATCGAAAAGTATCGGCTACTAATATCAGGTGTAGTAAAAAGAAATCCATTATTTTTCCAATAGATGGCTTTAGTTATCTGTATCTCGCGTTGTATAAGTCCGATCGGGTTCCACTAGATGGCGTTAGAAAGATGAGATTTCGTACTAAAAAAATTTTTGTGACAGTTTTGTGATTAGTTGACTCAGTTTTGTTTGAGCGCGCGTCAAAGATGGACACTAGCAAAGAGAAAATACGCTATATTTTACAGTTTTTCTTCGATAAAAGCGAAAACGCAAGCCAGGTGGCTGAAAATGCGAATAGTGTTTATGGTCCTGATATTGTAACACCCAATCACGCGCAATTTTGATTTCGTCGATTCCGTTCCGGTAATTTCGATGTCAAAGTTGCACCACGCACTGGAAGGCCAATTGTCGAAAATATCGATAAAATCATGGACATTGTCGAGTCCGACCGTCATGTAAGCACTGTTTCGATTGCCCAAGAGTTAAAGATTGCACAAAAAACCGTTTGGAACTATTTGAATAAGGCTGGATACAAAAAGAAGCTCGATGAATGGGTGCCACACGAGTTAATGCAAAAAAACCTCATGGACCGAATTTCCATCTGCGAATCGCTGTTGAATCGCAACAAAATCGACCCATTTCTGAAGCGGTTGGTCACTGGTGATGAAAAGTGGATCACTTACGACAACGTCAAGCGAAAACGGTCGTGGTCGAATCGCGGTGAGCCGGCGGAAACGGTGGGCAAGCCAGGATTGACGGCCAGGAAGGTTTTGCTGTGTGTTTGGTGGTATTGGCAGGGAATTATCTACTATGAGCTGCTCCCCTACGGCAAAACTCTTAACTCGGAACTGTACTGTCAACAATTGGACCGTCTGAAGGAAGCAATCGCCCAGAAGCGGCCAGCTTTGGCCAATAGGAGAGGAATTGTGTTCCATCAGGACAACGCCAGGCCACACACATCGATAGTGATTCGCCAGAAGCTCCGGGAGCTTGGTTAGGAGGTTCTTATGCATCCACTTTATAGTCCGGACCTGACACCAAATGATTACCATCTGTTCCTGTCCGTGGCGAACAATTTTGCTGGTGAAAAATTCGCTTCAAGAGAGGCTTGTGAAAATCGACTGTCTCAATTTTTTGCCAATAGGGACGAGGGCTTCTATGAGAGAGGCATAATGAAATTACCTTCCAAATGGCAACAAATTATCGAACAAAATGGCGCATATTTGACCTAAATCGGATCATTCTAACTATGGTAATTAAAGCCTTCAATTTCATGCAAAAATAATGGATTTCTTTTTACTACACCTGATATTTTCAGTAAGAATGCATTTTGGAAAATTGTCCAATAGCAAAGTTGTACGGCTTCAAACGGCTTATACTAGTAGGCTTCAAACGGCTTATACTAGTAGGCGGAAAACTGCCCGAAGGTGATCGCGAGAAGCTGCTCGAATGCATGATGTCTCAAGGCGTTAATGGGAATCTGCCCGAAAGCGTTGGCGGGGCCGATCTTTATTGTCTCACTCTCGCACCAATAGTAATACAAGCTCTTGAGCAACCAATGCGGATCACTGATTTGAATCTTTGATGCAGTGCTATCTTCTTCTTAGAGAGCAGCAGTTACCTCGTGGGCAAAAACGAACAACCCCAAAAATTGTTTCTGTAACAAAAGAAGCCATTGCGCTTCAATTAATTGTCCCAAACATCTTCATTTTGTTTCCACTAGCCCAGAATTTTTTCATAAATATTATTAATTGATCTATTAGATTTTCAGTTGCTCAACGAGCTTCTTGCTAATGCTAGTTGAAATAAACAAATCGATATTTGGACCAACACTTAATAATTAGTATTTTTCTCTACTTAATTATTTAGATCAATTTCCTATCACTTACCTGATTAATTCTTCTTTGCTCTAATTAAGAATGGCGGAGCTTTCTGAAAGAGATCGAATAATACTGTTAATGATGCGAGGATGGGGAGATCAACAAAGAGGGTATTAAACAGTAACGCGATTATTTAATGAAAATTTTCGGAATGAATATAATAGGATCTCCAAAAGTACTGTAATCCGTACTATTCAACGTTTCGAAGACATTGGTAGTGTTAAAAGACCTCCAAGATCAGGTAGACGTAAAACAGCAACAAATAATAATAAGACATTAGATGTTTTACAGTCTTTCGTTGAAAGTCCCCATTTCCACCACATTTCTATCAATCGCGTTGCACAAGAACACGAAATCGGTCATGCATCTGTCAGTAAAATTCTGAAATTGAATAAATGGCATCCATACAAACTCCATTTGGTCCAAGAGTTGTCCGAAGATGATTTTGATAGACATAGATTTTGATAGCATCGAATTTTGCGATCTTGATGATGGAAATGATTGTGGACGATCTTCTATTACTTAATAATATTGTTTTCTCTGATGAGGCAACATTTGAACTGACTGGGAATATAAATATACACAATTGTAGATACTGGAGTGATATTAATACTCAGTGGAAAAGAGACAATCATACCCAATATCCACAAAAATTAACGTATGGGCTAGTATTCTTAATGGTAGACCAGTTGGCCCTTTCTTCATTGAAGGCAATTTGACAGTACAAGTATACACAGTCATACTTCGCGAACAAATTGTTCCAGCTATTCAAGACATAGCTGGTGGAAATATGGATGAAATTTATTTCCAACAGGATGGAGCTCCACCTCATTATGGTGTCATTGTCCGTCAATATTTGAGTGATGTCTTTCAGGACAGGTGGATAGGGTCATATTGAGTAGCCACTTTGTTCTCCGGACTTGACCCCACTTGACTTTTTTGTGGGGTTACTTGAAAAGTAAAGTTTATGCCACCAAGCCTCAAGATTTAGATGATTTAAGAGGGAGAATAACTCGAGAGATAGAACTAATACCGCCGGAAACGTTCCAGAATGCGGTTTCAGCTGTTTATAACAGATTGGCACATTGCCAGGCTGTTGAAGGGCAACAATTTGAACATATGTTGTGAATTGTTTGGTACAATTGAATATTTTGCCCAAGCTGACCAATTGGAATGAAATTCGCCTTAGCTGGTCGGAATCACACACCACTCTTGCCTTAACTGGCCGGAATCACACACCACTCTTGCCTTAACTGGTCAGAATCACACACCACTCTTGCCTTATCTGGTCGGAATCACACACCACTCTTGCCTTAACTGGCCGGAATCACACACCACTTAACAAATTGTGAAATTCAAACCTTTATAACTCAAAAAGTACTTCATGAAAAAATGTTTTATTATAGTGTTTTAGAAAGCTCTCGGGATAAGCTATAAGAATATGTAATAAAATGTTAGAGGTTTCATTTAAAAAAATAAGGTTCACCTTGAAATGACCTTGAAGGACATGGTGAAGGTCAAGGTCAAGATCATCATCTTACTCTCCGCTTGAAACTATACAGCTTTACTATTAGACATTTTCTCCAAAATGCATTCTAATTGAAGATATTAGGGGGATCCAATACTTTTCAATGACCCTGTATGATACGGTAGGTGGGTTTTAGCGGACAGGGTTTTAGAATAGAGTTGTACAGTGGGTGAAAGATTCTAGAATAGAGTAGAGAAAAGCGAAAGAAGGGAGAGTGGAAGAAAACGAAAGTGAAATAGGAAGCCTAACATGGACCCTTTAACCAAAGGGATTCCCTATAGAATGCCGCAAACACGGAATGGGTCTCTGGAGTTGCCACGAAGTAATGTGCCGCCTCCGGCCATTTCCAGCTTGCGGCCGGAACGAATTGCCGCAGAGCTTTTCTCTGCGGCTCGAAGTCCGAACATTCCATCAAGTGATGTACCGCTGTGTCTGCGACCTTTCCACACAATCCACTTTTCACGAGCCCTAAGGACGCGAGGCGTCCCCGGAACTTGCCGTATCCAGTGAGCACCTGCGTGTATAATAGTCCGGTTTCATCCAGCCGGCGTCACCCTGTCCCGAACGTTGTTTGGAAGGCGCTTGTTATACAGCTTTTGCTCGAAGAAGACCATCGAGAATTCGGATAGGCAAGGGCGGACAGCCTCGGCCGTTACGAGCCCAGGCCCTCGGGGGTCGGACAAAATGTCCTCCCACCTCTCCAGGGTCCGGGCTCTGGCCTGGAGCCTCAGGGCCTTCAGGTCCTTGGCCGACAGATCACCCCCATCGCGGAACTCCTTCACATACGATATTGTGCGGAACCCCCGAATCGCTCTGATCATTACGGGCCTCAAGGCCTGCCGCAGCCAGCGTTTTCCGCTGCCACTGGCCAGGAGCTGAAGCGCCCATATTGGCGTCCCGTACAGAGCGATCGAGAGCACCGCACTCATGTACAAACGGTGAGCCCTCCAATCTGGGCCCCTTTGGGCGCGCATTAGACTGGCTACCGCCAGACCAGTCTTGCGCATCCTGGGGGCCAACTGTCTAAAATGAGGCCCAAAGCTCCATCGGTTGTCCAACGTCAGGCCGAGATATTTTATCGTCGGTCCGACGCGGATGTGGACGCCATTAACCAGGACCTGTGTCTCCGGTGAAATACAATTGACCATTTTTTTGTGACCCTGGAGAAACCCCTTATGGGTACCCACAGGTCCTGGGGGGCCTGCAGGTTATGTCGGATTCGCACCGACTAAAACTTCAGGGGAGTGCCAGCTTTCAGGGGCAGCGGAAGGCGGCGGGGAAAACTATTTCCATATTCCCTTCCCTAAGCCGCCGCCCCTTTTGGCCCCACAACAAAGTGGGACCTTTGTCCGCCTTGGACCCCGCGCGCCATAGGACATATAGGGGGCTGTGGTAAGGGAAGTGCCGCCTAGTATGGCTTCTCAGACCCACTGCACCACACCCCCACCCCGGTAACCAAGTGGGGGGAGCGTGCAGAGGGCCAAAGGCCTTACACGCTCAACCACCTGGGCCAGGGAGCGCCGTCCTATCAGGGGGCGCGCAGGGTTACCGGGGTCAGGCGTTGTCTCTCTCCCCCCAATATGTGGAGGGAGAGACGCCTAACCCCTGACCGGCCGTGATGCAGGGCCGGGGAGGGAGAGGAGGGCACCCGCCCCTCTCCCACAATCCCACCATTGGTGTTCGAGGTGGGGTTCGGAGCCGTGACCTAGACGCCCACCCAGGTCACGGCTCCCCTTCCCCCCTTTCATACTGCCCTACTCCCGGGCTTGAGAGGGAGGGGGAACCCTAACCCCGGTCAAATGACCAGAGTAGGGGGAACCTTTGTTCCCGGGTCGCGCAGCGCGCCCCAGTCCCGCAGCGGCAGCGGGGAAAGGTCCCCCTCGACGTGAGAGGGACCAATCTCCACCGCCCCGCAACCCGAACCACCGGCGACCTCCCGCATCGATTCTTCGATATCACCGCTGGCACCAACTCGGCGGTCTTCCTTTCCACCAGCGGGCGAGACAACTCGCCCGCCCTCGCTCTCGTCTCTACAACAACAACAGCGGGTCCCGACGATCCCCCGTTGGGAGGGCGACCGCGACGACGTTCAACCGAGCGCCTGACGCCGCCCCCACTTCAGGGTGGGGACGCGAGCCCGCAGGACGGTCTTGCCATCCTGTGGCCCACGTCCCTCCTCTTCTCCCGGCACACGACGCACTCAGGATGTGCATGTACGTCCGCGCCGTGTGCCCGCTCCGGCCACACCGGTAGCACAGCCACTACGATCCGTAGCGGCCGTGCAATTGACCCTGGTGTGGCCAGCATCGATAACACTGGGATGGCCGAACCGCTAGCAGTGTAATACTGACGGTCGACCACCCCAGTGTGAAGCCTCTGTACCTGGCAGCCGCAACCGCAGCTACCAGGGGCAGTCAGGCCCAAGCCGACTCTCTCCCTCTAACCCCCCATCTGAGGGGTCCGAAGGTGATCTCCTCCGGCCTACAGCCAGCGCTGTTAGTCAGAGAGTCCCTTATTTCTTCGGGGGTCGCCGCCTCATGAACCCCTCCGAGGCGGACCTCCCCCCTCAGCACAAGGCTGTTAACTGCCGCCTCTGGCAAGATCTCTTTAAGGCGGGCCGCCAAGCGGTCCGCCTTCTCGCTGTCGGGGCCTGGGCCTTAACTCGGACCAACAGGTCCTCGGCAGCCATCCTTCCTAATTCTGCCCCAGGGATGCCAAGATCCTCGAGGGGGATCTCCCGCATTGCTCGCCTCAGGCGAGCTCTACTCTCCGCGTAGGAAGACCCCGGGGCGAGGCGAACTGTCACCGCGGCTGTCTGCGGCAGCCACGGCCATTTCTCCCTTCCCATCGAGGCGAGGGGCCCAGAGGGCCGTTGCGCGGCTAACCGTGCCGACGCCGCGGCCCCCCTCCTCGAAGTCCTTATCTCTTTCCCCGAAGTGGGAGAGGCCGGATTGGGGTTGCGGAAATCCGCTCATCCCCCCGATCACCCTCCCCGTTAACTCTCCTTTTCCTCTTCCTCCCAATTACCGTGGATCACGCCATTGCTCCCTTTATCTCCCCCTTTCCTTTCTCGGTCGTCTCAGAGGTGGTAGTGCCTTAATCTGGGAGGGCCCGTCAACTGACGGAACTCCTCTCAGAGGATCCCCTGAGACCACCGTCTGAATCCCTTTATCCTTACCTTTCTTTTTAGTTTGGACCTCTTTATCAGTCCTATATTCCCCTCCCGTCTGGGTTTCCTTATCTTTCCTCAATACTTTCTCTCTCTCAACCTCCATATGAGTGGGCGGGGGCGTTACAGACCCATCCGTCTGTGTTGACGCCTCCCCCTTTCTTCTAGACCTCTTTCCCCCTGCAGCTTAAGCAGAACGTCCAATTGGTCTACGCTGCGCTGAAACTCCTGCAGTCGTTCTTCTGTCCCTTCCCTTTCTCATTCTAAGAGCTCTCTCCTCTCCTTCCTCTCCCTTTCAAAGTTCGTCTCCCTTTTGCCTTTCTTCTTCAGTGCCCTATGACTTGCAGAAAGCTCATCCAAGTGTCCACACAACTCCCTTCTGCAAGTCTCACTGATTAATAATCTCCTCTCAAACTTCTCGTACCGATCCTCCAGTGCAGCAGCAGCTATAACTAGCTCCTGCGTGTATCGGATGGTGGAGGTAAATACCTTCCGGAGGCTGCCCTTCTGCAGGTTCCCGAGGCTCCTGTTCCTTCCCCATTCCTCTATTTGCTGTTGCAGGTATTCTTTCCATTCCCCCCATCTCTTTGCAGAGTAGGGGGGATACTTCACCTCTTCCTCCTTCGATTCCTTCCCTCCAACCGCACCCGGCTCTTGCACCTCCTCCTCCGACACGGTGAGAGAATCGCCATCGTAGGAGTCCTTCCCTCCATGATCAGAACCCCACAAATCCAACATCCCAGGATGCTCCTCAGTCTCTGCATCCAGGCACCATATCCTCTGCTGTAGAGGAACGTCATCCGTCTCCTCCACCACCTCCACTTTCAACTTCGCCCCGGGTTCCATCAGCTTCCGCAACTCCGAAGCTGGCGTCCCAAAAGTCCTCCTACCGGAATCCCCTGCAAGACTCCCTTCCTCTGATCCAGAGAAACTCCTCCCCTTCCTCCTCTTCCTGTTTTTAAAAGAAATGTCCATTGTGGTTTTAAACCCACCACTCCTGGCTGCTCGACCGGCCGCGCATGCCCGCACCACGGAGTGGTGTCCCCGAGTTCCCCCGGGAAACCGGTCTGTCAGTGACCCGGGGAGAGGTCATCCCGAGCACTGGACTCCAGCTCCCTACTCCCGCCCCACCTCCATCACTGAGAGGTGAGCCAGTTTCAGGGATTCCTGGTCTCCGACCCCCAGGACACCGCCAAGAGCGCCGCTACGCGGGGGGCCCCGTGGAAGGAGTAAGGTCACCGCTATCGCGAATCAACGGGGTCCCTCCCCCACGACGGCCAGCAATGCATCTCCGCCCAGGGGATGGGTTTAGGAATGACGCGATCCATATTCCCCGGGCTCACCCCGGGGGGCCCGGCCCTGACCTCGGAATACGTCCGAGCGGCCCGGATCCTTCCTGCCATCCCGCGTATCGTGAGGGTCCCAAACCTCACGGTGTGCAGGCCCGAGTGTGGCCCGTCCCTTCGGCAGCCGGAGCACCGGCGTGTAATGCCCTAGGAGACAGAAACCTCCCACAGAGTAAAGTCCTGTCCCTCAGACTGCCGGAGCACGGCATGCAATGTTGGAGGGATGGTGTCCCCAACCTTACTACCCTAAAAGTGGTCGAGGGTGGCCGATTGGCCACCCCGCCATAATGTCCCTGGATGCTCTTAGTCCAGTCCCTCCGTGCAGACCACTCCGGCATGGTAGAACCTGCCAGGGGCCAAAGCCCCCGCCAGCACAGCTCTGCACTTCATCGGGACATTCAAGCCTCCCGACCACGACAAGGTGGCACTCGCGGGGAGGAAATACAATTGACCTTTTTTTGTTCACGCAGGGAAAATCCATCATGGATACCCCCGCCCCTTGGGGGGAGCGATGGTTATGTCGGACTCCTACCGACTAAAACCCCTGCGGGATGTCTACCTGTCGGACCGTTGTGAGGGCAGTTAGGGGAAGTGCTCCCGCATTCCCTCCCCAACACCCCGGCCCCAGGGCTCTAGACTAAGAGCCCCTCGCCCGATGCACCACGCCCCCTTCCCCATTCGGGAAAATAGTGGGAGCGCAGTCCCCGACAGGTTACCCCGCCGGTTGGCCTTCTGGTGTCGCCCAGGAGGAAGGCGACATCCACCCTCCGTCCTTATCCCCCTTCCCTGTAATTCCAGGGAGAGGGGAAAATCGGGCAGGTGGGCCTAGCCCCAACTGGGTGATCCACCTCTCCTTTTCGCAACCTATCCGATTAGTCAGGACGGCAGGTTCATCCCCGCTCCCCCCTGCGACTGACGGAGTCGAGCCCGAGGCGGCCGAGGGAGGTGCGCACCCGTATAGGTTAGCGGCCTCTCCTCGGCCGATACCACCTCGGGCCCGCTATGAATCCCCCCCCCCGACGACGTGTGCCGGGCCGATGCTCCCACTCGGCGGCCTCCTTCCGGGACATTACTTCCCTGCTGAAGGAGTCCGCCGCTTCCCAGATTTCCTCGCTCCCGCACATAGCCCTGACTGTGCGGGAGCGAGAGCTCCCCCTCTCGACAACCCACCGTCCCGGCCAGGACACGGCGCTGCTCCTCCCATGCAGCGCAAGCGGCCAGGGTATGCTGCGCCGTGTCCATTGGCTCGGGGCAATGGTGGCACCGAGTGATGGGCTCCTTCCTCATCCGGTGCAGGTACTTCCCGAAACAGCCATGCCCGGTCAGCACCTGCACCAAGTGGAAGGACATTCCACGTCCGCCTGCTTGACACTTCGGTCAGGCAGGGGCGGACAGTCTCGGCCGTTGCGAGCCCGGACCCTCGGGGGTCAGCTAAAACGCCTTCCCACCGCTCCAGAGTCCGAGGTCTGGTCTGGGTCTTCAGGGCTTTTAAGCCCCTGCCCGTCAGCTTCCCCTCCGCGCGGAGCTCTTTCACCCTCCAGTAGAGGATGCGCTGCTCCTCGGCTAGGAGCTCCACGAGCGAGAACCGGCCAGGGTAGTCGCCGCCATGTACGACACGGTGCGGAACTTTCGA